GATTGCCTGAGCCCAGCAGGTTGAGGCTGCAGTGGCTGTGAGTGTGCCACTGCATTCCAGTTTGGGTGACAGAGTGAAACTCTGACTCAAAAAGAAAAAAGAAAAAAAAAGATATAGATTAAATGTATAATAATAAAGTATTCTTTTTTTTTTTTTTTTTGAGATAGGGTTTTGTTGTCACCCTGGTTAGAGTGCAATGGCACAACCAGAGCTCACTGTACCCTTGAACTCCTGGGCTTAAACGATCCTCCTGCCTCAGTCTCTCAAGTAGCTGGGAGTACAGATGTGCACCAACACTCCTGACTAAATGTTTAGGGTTTTTTGTGAGAAGATACCTCGCTATATTGCCCAGGTTGGTCTCAAACTCCTGGCCTCAAAGGGCCCTCCCGCCTCAGCCTCCCAAAGTGCTGGGGTTATAGACATGAACCACTGTGCCAGGCCTATAACATGTTTTAAAATAATAATATATGATAAAATAGAATAAAAATGAACCATGTATTATGTGTATCAGACTACATGCTGTGATATATAATAAATAGTTTATTTTATTTATATCCCAAGTTTCAAAGGATTTAGAGCTTATCCAATAAGACAGGTTTAGTTGAATCATTAAAATATGAGAAGGCCTATCAAAAAAGGACTGAAAAAAAAATAACGTGGTATGGAATATTACACAGCCATAAAGAAGGACAAAATTATGAACTTCACAGCTTCACAGCAACTTGGATGAACTTAGAGGCTATAATACTGAGTGATTTATCACAGAAACAAAGAACCAAGTATCACATGTTCTCACTCCTAAGCGGACCTTGAACAACTATCATAATACTGTAAGAAAGGGATTGGCAGTAGTGGGAAACTGCCAGGGAGGGGTGGGAGTGGAAGTGGCAGTAGTGGGAAACTGCCAGGTGATGGGTGGGCACACTTAATCAACAAGGGTACCTGCATAAAGAACATTTGTTTACCTAACCCTGAATTATACCCCACATATTTAAAATTTAAAAATTATTAAAAATAAATAAATAAATAAAGGCCATCAGGAGTTAAAAAAAAAATGAGCAGAAAAGAATTAAAGAGATAAATAGAAAAATAGGCTATGCATAATTATTGTAACTGAGCACTTAGTTTTGAGCTTCCTGTCAGCTAAAACAAAAAGGGAAACCCATTCATTGACTTGTGCATACCAGTTTAGGCGAGACAGTTTTCTCAAAAATATACTTATCGGCCAGGCATGGTAACTCATGCCTTATAATCCCAGTACTTTGGGAGGCCAAGGTGGAAGCATAGCTTCAGTCCAGGAGTTCAACACCAGCCCGAGCAACATAGCAAAACCTTGTCTCTAAAAAAAATTTTTTTTAATTAACTGGGCATGGTGTCTCATGCCTGTAGTCCCAGCTACTCAGGAGGCTGAAATGGAAGGATCACTTGAGTCTAGGAAGTCAAAACTGCAGTGAGCTGGGATCATGCCTCTGCACTCCAGCCTGGGCAATAGAGCAAGACACTGTCTCAAATAAAATAATAAAATAAAATACACATATGCAGATTTCTAAATGTCAATAACAAAAATACAGCATTGGAATAATATCTGAACACTAAATTCATATTTATATACTCTACAAAAGATCTTTAGAATGCCTGCTCTCCAAGGTCATTGCAACTGGTGATGATTCCCCAATGAAAGGATTTTCCCTTTTTTTTTGAAAGAATTTTCTTGGGACCTTGTCTATAATAAACTCATGCCAGCTGTACGCATCTGCCCATGAATTTGGTCATCTTTTGGGAATAGCAACTAGAAAGGATCTTCTCTGTTGTTTACACACATAGAGTCAAAACAAAGGACAAGTTAAATTGCACTTAGAATAATATGTTCACTGTGGCCAGGCACAGGTGGCTCACGTCTGTAATCCCAGCACTTTGGGAAGCAGAGGCAGGTGGGTTGATTGAGCCCAGGAGATCAAGACCAGCCTGGGCAACATAGCAAAACTCTGTATCTACAAAAAAAAAAAAAATTAGCCAATGTGGTGACACACACCTGTAGTCCCAGCTATTAGGGAGGCTGAGGTGGAAGGATCATTTGAGGCTAGGAGATCAAGGTTGCCATGAGCCATGATCCTAGTGATCATGCCACTGCACTCAAGCCTGAGAGATGGAGTGAAATCTCAGACTCAAAAAAAATGTTCACCTCTAAAACTGGAGAGAAATGAACCCTACTGTGCACACATTCTTGAAAAATTGGGACAAGGACAACCCTCTTTTGTGTCCCCTCCCGCTTGGGAGCTTTTCTGTATTCTTAATAAACTCCTGCTTTCTCACCCTCAAAAAAAAAAAAGGAAAAATTGGATCAAAATGTTTAAAAGGGCAATAATGCAATGAGATGGCTTCAGATAAAACTGAAGAGCCGGCAGTGTGGTCTTCAGGGCCCTCTCCCATTCAGCTGTCCTCTTCTAATCATGAAGTCCTCTTTCTACTTCAGAGCAAAATCTACTTAACCTAAAGACTGCTTTTCTAAGAAACACTGGAATTGCCTTAGTGTGAATAAAGTCACCGTATTGCTTCTTCCATGGGTGTTTGCTTTTCAGGTTTTGGTTCTAATTCAATTTAACAAATGCTTACTGGAGGCCTATTACGTGCAAGATATCTTCTAGCTACCAGTAGTGAAATGAACATATTCGTGATCTTAGAAATGGATTTCAAGCACTAGTGCATAAGCAGGAAAGAGTTTTTGTTCTCTGGGTAACATCTGACTCTTTGCCTTGTGTCCCTCCAAGTGAATTTGTTGTCAGGGCCACAGAACCAACACACACATTTCAATATGCTTCAGATTTTGAGTCTAAATGTCTCCCTACACCAGGTTTTAAGAAACCAGGGGCTGAGGCGTTACTATCACTGGATTTCTTCTGATTTATTCCCCTTCTTATAGGGTTTCTGGTTTAATTCCTCAAGCCTGAATTCACTGATAGTTTCACTCAGAAGAGAGAAAACTAACATTTATTGAATATTTCTTTTTATTTGCTGGGCACTGTACCCATTAATCCTTGTAACTATAAAGTTAATAACATCATTTTGTCATCCTAAATGACAAACAAACAGGGAGACTCTCTGGAAGAAAATGACATTTTCTCTGGAATGGGCATTGCATTGTGAATATTCTTGCCATAATAAACTTTTTTTTTTTTTTTTAGTCAGAGTCTCACTCTGTTGCCCACGCTGCAGTGCAGTGGCATGATCATGACTTACCATACCCTTGACCTACCGGGCTCAGCCTCCCAAGTACCTGGGACTACAGGCACATGCCACCACAACTGGCTAATTTTTAATTTTTTTTGTAGAGACAGGATCTCACTATGTTTCCTAGGATAGTCTTGAACTCCTGGGCTCAAGAGGGCTGTGTTTTTTGTTTTTGTTTCTAAAAAGAGGATTACACAATTGTTTTGAAGTAATTATCTTGGTCTTCAAGGATCAATAACAAGAGTACCATCAGTCCTAGGTTGGACAGGCAGTTGCTGGGCGGATGTTATCTTTTCGTGTGAGGCTCAGAAGGCCTTTGTGCAAGGTTGTAGTTTTTGCAGTCTCTTATGATAGTGTTTGTTACTGGGCATTCGTGCATGAGAACTCTCTCTTATGGCCTTCCTCTTCCACCATTTTCAGGGTGGCTTTTTTTTTTTTCCAATACTTGTGAGTCCATTTTGATTTGATTAACAACTTTCACAATTTACATTAGAACATAGAAAACTGAGGTTCAGAGCATTTTAGAAACGAATTGAAGATCAAGTTGCTAAGTGTCAGAACATTCACAACTAAGTTGTACCTGCCTGGCTCCAAGGTCAGTACTCTTTTCATTACAGCATTGGTTCCCCACTGGGGTGGGATTTTTGCCCTCACCCCCAGGACATCTGGCAATATCTGGAGACATTTATAATTCTCAGAGCTGGAGGTGGGTTGGGTGGGATCCACTCCTGGGAAACTCTGGTCACTAGTGAGTAGAGGCCAAGGATGCTGCTAAACATCCTGCAATGAACAGGGACAGCACCCCCCCCAATCCCACCCCCCACAAGAAAGAATGATTCAACCAGCCCCAAAGGTCAACAGAGTCGCTGCATGACAGCATACTCCTGCCCTATTGTGATTTTATTTCCAAGATTCAAAGGTAACTGCTTCTAAATTAAATTGTAGAAAGACAGGAATGAATCAACCCCTTATTCCTGTTGTAGTTCTCTTCTGTTATGAAGAAAACGGATTGGAGGGTTTTTTGTTTTGTTTTGTTTTGTTTTTTGAGTTGGAGTCTCACTCAGTCGCCCAGACTGGAGTGCAGTGGCCGCTCCCGGCCACCGCAGCCTCGACCTGCTGGGCTCCGGCGATCCTTCCGCCTCAGCCTTCCGAGTAGCCGGAATTACAGGCATGGGCTACCACGCCCGGCTGATTTTGGGATTTATTGTAGAGATGAGGTCTCGCTGCCCAGGCGGGTCTCGACCCCGTGGGCTCAGGCAATCCACTCACCTCAGCCTCCCAAAGGCGCGGGATTACAGGCTGAGCCACCGAGTCCGGCTGGATTGGAGCTTTAAGATAGGAAAGCGGGAATGGGAGGGGGCAACTCAGTAAGAGAAAGGAGACGAAAACCGATTATTAAGGTTAAGAGGTAAGATGTAAATATCTAAATGTTTTGCGACCCCAGGATTTCCTCTAAACCAAAACTTCACGAACTGTTTGAAATTTAAGTATTTGGAACTGGTTAAATGTTACCCTGACCTCAACTAACATCTGTATTTGACTTTTTTCCGGATCCCAGGGGACGTGGATGCCAGATGGCACCATCTCCTCTTCCTGCTCTTCCCTCAGGCACAAGGTCTGCCAGGTGCTGATGACTTGGCTCCCGGCAGGAGGCCGCTTGCTGGACGACCAACTCTTGCCGAAGACCAGCTCTCGCAGCTCCTGCCCCACCAGGTTCCTCCACCAGCCTGAATACTCAGCGGGGCGGGGCGGGGCGGGGCTTCGGGGGCGGGGCTGCGCGAGCGTACGTCCCCTGCGCCGTGACGTCACAATGCTGGCGCGCCGGCCCCGGCCTTAGCAACCGGCCTAGCGACGATCACCAGCCTGTTGCCGGTTTCTCCTTTCCAGCCCTGCGCTGCCAGGGCTGGGCCTGGCCGGGGGAAGGACCGACGGGGATCCCTGGTGTCCCCAGGGCGGCTGCAAGAGGACTAAGCATGGACGACAGCCGGAGAGGTAAACGGTAGCTCTCGCGGGCGACCGCCGGCTCCCAGGGCTCCCAGCCTCGGGTCCAGGCCGCGCCCCGGGCGCTCCCGCTCCGCGCTGGATCGCCAGTGTCGCCCTAAGTGTTGTCCCGAGCTGCCCAGGCCCCACGCAAGGCCGCTTTCTTGCCCAGAATTGGTCGCCCTGACCCCAGGCGATCCCGTCTTCTGGTCTCGGTGGTCTTTGGAGTCAGACCTCGCTGGGCCCCAAATCCAATCCGTGGAGGGTCGGCCATGAAGACGACCCGAGGTTTATTCACCTCTTGAACGTGGAGGGAGAGGGTATCAAGTATCCCGGCCATAGAGTTCTTGGGGATTAAATTCAGACATGGCATCAGCAAAAACTGTTGCCTAATCCAGGGCTTCTGTAAATTTAATGTGAATAGGAATCCCCTAGGCATCAGGTTTTTATGCAGACTACGATCCAGTAGGTCTGTTGGGGTAGGACCTGAGACTGTGCGTTTCGAATAAGTTTCCAAGTGATGCTGGTCGGCGGACGCCGGTGTGAGTAGCAAGGGACTGACCCATAATCACTGTATACACATGTTCTTGAGTGAATATTGAGTTTGGTGGGCATCGTGGTGGCCCATATTAGCTCAAATCTCTCTACCAGTCAGCACAGTCCAGATAATTTGCATCTTTGCACTTTCTGAGCAAGTGGCATTCTTTCCTCAAGTCACATAAAGCCGTCTGTAGACTCCCCACTTCCTAATTCAGTGTGCTTATTGATTCCTAGAGTACCTTTAAACCAGGATGCTAGGCGATTCCTTGAAGTAGGTCTTGTTTTGAGTACAAGTATGCCTTATTATGTCATCATTTATCAATAAGTGCTATTCTGAAATCATGAAATAACTATCTTCCGTTGATCAGCAGACTATATTCTGATACTTGACAAACCTAAACCAAAAACAAAACAAAACAAGCAAAAAACACTTTTGTGATCTGAGAAAGTTTACACATAAACTAGCATTAAGCTCTTGCTGTGTACCAGGAACTGTTTCCAAATTATTTAATTTATTAAAAAAATCTTGTTAGATAGGTATTATCCTTTTTTCAAAGTGAATAAAACAGAAAATATAAATAGCTTGCCAAGGTCTTAGCAGCAGAACAGACTTTAAATCCAGGTGAAGAATGTAAAACCCAAAGCCAATGCCTTACTTACTTTCCCATGGTAGGGGCTGGTGCATGGGGAAAGGGTATATATAAAATTTAGAATGTAATAGACTTAGTAAGTTCTCAGTATTTGTTTATTGAGTTATTTTTAAAATTAGGTTCATTCAAATGTAAAGAGGCTTATATTTTTATAACTTACCCAACTAACTTCATTTTTAGGATGTTATATAATATATAGTAATATCAAACATTTTTATTGATTTTGAATATATCTGGGGCAAATATCTGGGGTAGTCAGTTCTCACTGTAACTTATTAAAAAACTATATAAACTATGTAATCTTCATTTGTACCCCACATCCCTATAATAAAATAAAGAAACCATAAATAATTTTAGCGGAAGCTAAAGTACTTAAATGAAAATAAATTTCTCGGATTTCATTAGGTGATTATTTTTTGTTGTTTCTGAGTATAAAATATCAAAACATTAAAGAAAAAATTATCTTTTGTCATTCTTACTCTAGTTACATTTTAGACACTCTTGTAAGGCAAACCTAAATGGAAGTGTAGTGGAAGGAACACCCACCTGAAAAGTAGTAAATTTTGTTAGTAATCTTTGCTTGCTATTTACTAAGTAGGTAACCTTCAGGAAGTCGCTTTACCTCCCTGGACCTTAGTTATTTGTAAAAATGGGGATTTAGACTAGATAATTCATAAGGTATTATTTCCAACTTCTTGTGGAAAGGAGAAGAAAAGGTTGAGAATATCAAACTGCCTTGCACTCTATTACTTAATACCTTTGGGGAGGAGAGGAGACAACGTATTAGTGTAAATAACTGAATGTAGCTTGAAAAAAAAAAAACAACACTTGTTTGAACTAAACTATTGATTCCATAGAGACATTTATTCATGGCAGTCAGATTCCCAAATCTCTGGTATTCCTGGGAAATCTTGCCACAAGAGACACCTTCATCTTTTCCTCAAAACTCCTTTCTGACTATTTTATTAAGTTGTATAGGAAACTGGGCTGCTCTCATATACTGATGAATTTCACTACCCTATGAGGATTAGAGTTAGAGGATGCTGTTCTTTTTCTTGGCATTTGGCTTGAGGCTACTTTGCCATGCTCTTTGGGATCATTCTGGGTCCAATCAGGAGCTAAAAGCCATACAGTGATTTATACAAGGAAAGTTTAACGAATTGTGAAATTATCATAAAAGAATAATTGTAAAGATATAAGATAACTGTGTAGTACTCTAGAAGTGAGGGAGAGTTCTCAAGGAAGGACAGTTGGAAAGGGGGACTTCCTCCCACAACTGGGGTTTATGTTTCGTTGGAGAAGGTGTGACTGTGCACTGCCCAGAGCCCCCTGCTGGGGAGTCCCATTAGAGCCTTCACACGCCTTGGGAAATGGACTTCGTAATTGCTTTGCCAAATCACTAAACAAACAACAACGAAAATAAGCTCAAGAGAGGGTTCCAGATCTGGAGTTGCTATAATCTGTTACCAAATGTTCACTTTTCCACAAAAACTCCCAGGTCCTGCACAGAACAAGAAAGTGAACTGTAAACAGGAAGCAAAATGGGAGCCAGAAACTGCCAATAAGAGGGCCCAGATGAACTGAATTGTCTATTATCCCTTCAATTCTGCCCATTTTACTATGACATTCATTTGTAGGCTTGTTAGAAGCCAGCAAGTATATGCTTCGGTGTACCCTTGAAGGTAAATGACAGAGGGACATGGACATCAGGATATGTCTAGTTCCATCTTGCTTTCCCCACCGTCTTATGCTAAGAGAAGCTGGGTTGACACCAGGGAGCAGACCTTGACTTCCCTGTCCATCTCACCATCCACACAGCCAGGAGAGTGGATTTGTTCTATCCAAGACAGTATCCCTGGGCACTTGCCTTTCATTCTCTCTGACTTCATTCTCTCAAACTTCTCTGGATATACTTGGTTTTTGGTGTTTTTTTTTTTTTTCTGTGATCTATAGTAAAATGTGCATAATATTAGAATGGAATTCGGAGGGAATAAACTACATACAGTTGAGATAGATAGCTTCTTGATCTGTTTCATATGATACATAGCTTAGAGCTTGTTCAAGTACTGAGCAATTTATATTGGTCAGAATAGTGTGATGGTTAAGACACGGGGACCAGACTGCCTGGCTTCAGATCCCCAATCTGTCACATTATAGTTGCATAATCTTGGGCAAATTAGAAACTTAATCTCTTTATGCTTCAGTTATCTTCATTTATAAAATGGGGAGTATGGGCTGGGTGTGGTGGCTCATGCTCATAATCCCAGCACTTTGGGAGGTTGAGACAGGAGAATTGCTTGAGGCCAGGAGTTCAAGAACACCTGGGCAACATAGCAAGACCTTGTCTCTTCAAAAATTGTTTTTAAAAACTAGCCAAAATTATGAACTGCACAGCAACTTGGATGAACTTAGAGTCTATAATACTGAGTGATCTATCATAGAAACTAAGAACTGAGTACCATATGTTCTCACTCATAAGCAGACCTTGAACAATTATAATAATACTGCAAGAAAGGGATTGGCAATAGTGGGAAACTGCCAATGGGAAGAGTGGGGGTGTGCACCACATCAACAAGAGTACCTGCATAATGAAAATTTGTATACCTAACCCTGAACTGTACCCAACATCTTTAAAATTAAAAATTTTTTTAAAAATAGGCAGGTGTGGTGGCACACATTTGTAGTCCTTGCTACTTGGGAGGCTGAAACGGGAGGATCACTTGAGCTCAGAAATTTGAGGCTGCATTGAGCTAAATTAAAAATAGTTAAATTAAAAATAAATAAAATTAGAATAATGATAGTATTTATCTCATAGTATTTTTTAAAAGATCAAGTGAGTTTATACTTGCAAAGTGCTTAAAACAGATCCTGGCCCAGTTAGCACTCAATAAATTAGCATTTTGACCACAAATGAAGAGCTCAAACTCATATTTGCTTAAGCAAAAATGGGAACTTTCTTGCTCACGTAAAGATAAGTATAGAGAAGGGACAGCTTTAAGCATGGCCGGCTTCAGGTACTCAAATGACATTTCCAGGAATCTCCTTCATCTTGGTTCCACTTACTCTGGGGAGGCTTCATCCCCAGACAGGTTTCCCTTACGTGGTGCAGTTTGGCCACCAGTAGTACCGAGCTCAGATCCTGTGCTAGGGTTACTGGGCCCAGTGAAACAAGAGGACTTTCCCGATAATTCTAGCTACAGTCCCAGGATTGCATCTTATGACTGGACTAGGTCACATATTTGTTGCTGATTCAGTCAACACAGATGTGAGTTATATGCCTAGCCCTGACTGTGGAATCAGCTCTGAACTTGAAACACCTAGGCTAAGAGTAGAGCAGGAGAGACTCCCCAGACGAAGGTTAAGGTGCTCTTTCCGGATGAGGAAGGCATCAAGTTCTGGACAGACCAAAAGTTGAACGCACTTCTTCCTCTGGAGAAATAAGGTTTTCCTAAGAGTTTATTTGTTTGTATTTTTTTGTTTAAGTCTCACAGTTTTGTCCTGTTAGAAGCTATGCTAATGTCATGAGTACCTCTATCCCCAACTCAAATGGTGTCTCTTGACTTGTATTGTCCTAAAGAAGTTCATGCGTTTCCTTCCTGTTCTCTGGCCATGATGTAGAAGGAGCTTCTTGGATATTCTGATCTCAAATTGTTTTTCCGTTTTAGTGTATTCTAGCAAGTTTTATTCTCTGATCTTAGATTTTAGTTCTCCCATCTTGATCCCTCTGTTTCTATTTTTAGCTATCCATATTTCTTCAAGACTTTGTATGTGTCTGCCCCACACATTTTTGTTTGTTTGTTTGTTTGTTTGTTTTGAGTTGGAGTCTCACTCTGTCGCCCAGGCTGGAGTGCAGTGGCATGCTCACGGTCACTGCAGCCTCGACCTGCTGGGCTTAAGTGATGCTTCTGCCTCAGTCTTCCAAGTAGCTGGAACTACAGACACACGCCACCATGCCCAGCTAATTTTTGTGATGTATTATTGTGACGAGGTCTCACCAAGTTGCCCAGGCTGGTCTCGAACCCCCAGACTCAGGCAGTCCTCATGTCTTGCCTCCCAAAGTGCTGGGATTATAGGCTGAGCCACCATGCCCGGCCATGCCCCACACCTTTATAGCTCTTAACAGCTCTCCTGATGGCAAACACTAACCATTTGCCCTCTTAAAACATCTCTGTCTTGGATATAGTATTCATATTTTGCGTATTAAATTAAGTTTAATGCTATAACTCAATCTTCCTATTTTGGAGTTTTCTGCTATAAACATGATCACTTTTCAGGGAAACTATTTTGTGAAAAGGTCTATATCTAATTTTCCAACGGCCATGTAGTCTGTAATCTATTCTCTCTGCCTGCCTGCCTCCCTCCTTCCCTTCCTTCCTTCTTCCCTGCATTTAGGGGAGATAGTAAGTTTTTCATTACTAGAATTATTTTAAAATAGTGAATGTTTAGATAAAATCCAAGCCAAGAGGTAAGTGGGTTGGACCAAATGAACCTTAAGACATCTTTTAGTCATCAAATTCTGATTTTGATTTTATATATATTTATTTTATACATAATAACATATGAGGGGGACCCAAAAAACCTGGAATTATCTTTTAGAGGGCAGACCCCTTGAATACACTCAGAATTTGTTCCTCTGGATCAAATCAAAGTTTTTATCTGGAAGTTTTGAGACGATTGCATCATGATTTGCAGCAGAAACATCTGAGTTGTGACAAATAGGTGAATGGTTCTTCTACCATGACAACACACCTGCCCACAATGCCCTGAGTGTTCAGCAGTTTTTAACCCAAAACAGCATGACTCCCATGTGCCATCCTCCTTATTCACTCTCAACCGGATTGACATTTTCTTGTTTCCCTGGATTAAAAAAGTTCTCAAAGGGAAATATTTTGCCAAAGTGGAAGAAGTGAAACAAAAAATGGCAGAAGCACTAAAATGCATCAAGATTGATGAGTTCAAAAACTGTTTTGAGCAGTGGAAAAAGCATCTCAATAGGTGTATTGCCTCAAATGGAGGTACTTTGAAGGTCACTGAAGCTTAAACATGTGAGAATACACAATTTTTTAAATAAATAAATTCCATTTTGGGGTTTCCCAGATATAATTTCTAATTTACTCAATGGCTTTGTGAGAGGATTATTGTCTTAAAATTACTAGACTGTGATTAACTGAAATAGTTAACACGTAACACATGTATAGAAGCTCAAAATCTCACCTGTACCATACTCAAAAAACAATTAAAAATGTAGCAGGTCACTGTGTACAGAATAAAATCAGTATATATCAAATGACAGAATTGATATATTTATCATTTTACCCAGTGAAACTGGAGTCTCAAGGTACAACTGATTTTGAAAATACTTTCTTAAAAGAGAAAACTTTATCTCTGCAGAATTTTTGCTGTCTGATTTTATTGCTGGTTGGTAATATGATTGAATACAATTTTAGACAACCCTGGTAGTTAAAGATATATTTATTTTTTAAATATTCAATATTGTTGATTTTGTGAAAGTTGTGTTTCATTTATCCTAATTAATTTTTTTTTGTTAAAAGTCAGAGCATCCTCTGTCCTTCCCAGATATGGACCACCATGCCTACTTAAAGGACACTTGAGCACCAAAAGTAATGGTAAGTACTAAAAATGATAATGGTAGGTACTGAAGATGGTAGCTTTGTTAAAAGATTGACTGTTTCCTTCACCTGGAAATTAGGTGACATGATGAAAAAATTACTTATGTAATGAATATTTGAACTTCCTTTATTAACTGCAATTAATGTTATAGTAATTCTTGAGACTGGAGAATTTTAGAGCCTGTGATTTTAAGCTATTCTGGACATGGGCCTGGCTTCCTCCTGCTGTCTCTGCAGCCCGACTCCATTTTGCCAGGAGATATCCTTGGATGCAGGCATGTCTGCCTTGTTAGAATGGCAGTGAGCAGGTGTTGAGACACAGTGCTGCAAGGGAGAAGCCATGTAGGAAAGAAGAGCCCTTGGTCATGCATTTCATATCAGGAGCAAGTGCCTGCAGGCTCTTAATCCAACTGGATTTCTGGGTCCTGTGATGTTTTTATATTTTAAAGCCTTAAAGGTAACTTTTAAAGGTAGGTTTTAAAATAAATCGCTATAGTTATACCTTAAAGAAACTAATCTGTGTTTTTAGGAAAAGTAACTGAGAGCCTTTTTCCCCTTATTTACATGAAGACTTCTTGATACTGTTCCTCCAAAGGTGAACGAAGATCATCTTTTCAGTTGTCACCCTTATTTCTTTGTATTAGAGTGTGATATAGACAGACATAGCCAGAACCATAAACTTTGAAAAACAATTTTAAAATAAAAATGTAAACTTATATTTAAAATATGCATACATAGGAAAGCAGGATGAAGAAGAATAGGTAAAGTTTGCTAACTTTTTAAAAAAAGGAATATTTGCATATAACTGGTATAGGTATATTGGTTTTAAGGATAAGGCTGCTTTGGTTCATATCCAGGCTGCATCCTTTATCAGCAGTGTGACCTTGGAGACCTAACTCCTATCTCTGTGCCTTCAAATGATGGTAATAATGACTAGATAAGTTTATACATGCAAAGAGCTTCGAACAATGCATGGCAGATGTGGTACTCCTTCAATAAATGGATTTAGTAGAATCAAGCTCATAATTATTATATATGTTTGTATTATGCATAGTGTTCCCTGCATAAACAAAGTAACAGCATATTTCTGGGAGGAGCAATTAAAGGGCAGGGTAGGAAAGTCACTTATTTTCCAACTTCTATTTGCCATTTTAGCTGTGGAATTTCTTTTTAACCACATGCATGTATTCTCAGATACTGTTTTTGTTTCAAAAGACTGTGCCCACATTTACAGTTTATACTTGTATATAAGTGCTTAACTATTTTTAAGATTTATTTTAAACGGTTTGGATGGGAGTCATTGAATTTAATGTCATGAAATTTCTAAGTGATTATACTTGTCTTAAGGTAGTTCTAGTACTTCAAAAATAGTACTATAAGCTGATTTATAGATCTTGTTTTCAGATTTAAGTTAAAAATGTGTCTCTCAGGATAGAATCTTTGTATGTAGGGTTTGTTTAATTATCCAAACTCAATGGATTGTTTAAATATTAACAATGGTAACATTATTTTTATTCTTAGCAAGTAGTTAAACTCATAGTTACAAAATTGAGAACTGTCAACAAGAAACCCCATTTTGTAAATGTGTAAATGTAATAATAGATTATATTCTAGAGTCTTTTCCCCAAACCCTCATGCTTGTAAGTCATGTTTGTGGGAAGGCTTGAACCCAAGTGATCAGTAGATCAGCATTGGCAGTACAAGGTTAAGTCTTGGATTCACTCAGCATCACGCTATTATGATGTCTGTGTCTCTGTGGTCAAGTCTCAGAACATTTTATAAGAATGAGCTTAATAATCAGTAACTCTTTCTTATGATGATTTTTATATAGTCTTAAATATATAATGACTAAATGTGTTTTAATTTTTAGCTTTTTGCACTGACTCTTCTTCTCTCAGACTAAGCACTCTCCAGCTGATCAAGAATCACATGGCTGTTCACTATAATAAAATCCTTTCAGCCAAAGGTAAACATGTGCAAGTATGAGCTTGTTGTATCAATGTAAACCTCCAGCTTCACTTTTCATTAGGATGCATCATAGCAAAAATGACTATGTTATATATCAGAGGGTTTGTGTTTGGTATAGAGAGATAGGAACTGCAGACTTGATATATATATATCAGATTCAGAGTGCCATTTTCATTAGCTGTATTTGAAATCTACATAATGCCTGTGCTATTTCATTTGTCTGTTATCCCTAATATTATTTTGTTGTTAGATATTGCTCTTAATAAAAGTTTAGATTTTGCTTTTTCATTTTCAAATTTAAGGATATCGCACCACAGAGATTCTAGCTCTATTTTTCTAAATTTTTTCTTTGTCAGCTTTATTAAGAGGTAACTTACATACAATAAAATGCATTAATTATAAGCATATAGCTAAACATTCTGAAAAATGGATCCATCTGTATAACCATATTACAATTGGGCTGTAAAGCGGGTGGGCTGATGCCAACTCACAGGCTCCACCCACCTGCCACCTGATTTTGTACTGTTCATGAACTGAGAATGGTGTTTATATTTTTAGAGGATAGCAAAAAAAAAAAGAACAATATTTTATAACATAAAATCATATGAAATTTAAGTTTAATTGTCCATAAACACACACAATTGTATTCAATCTTTTACATATTGTCTATGGCAGCTTTTGCACTAAATAGCAGAGTTGACTAGTTGGGACAGACCGTATCACCCTGCAAAGCCTGAAGCATTTTCTCTCTGGCCCTTTATAGAAAAAAATTGCTGTGCTCTAAGATAGAACATTTCCATCACCTCTTAAAGCTCCCCCTCATCCTCTGTAATCTGTTAGCAGACTTTCCATATCTTTTTTCACTAGTGAACACCATTACATTCCCACTACCAATGTCCCAAATCCCTGGCAACCACTTATCTGCTCTCTCTCACGATAGTTTTGCCTTTTCCATAATTCCATGTAAGTGGACTCATACAATATGTATTCCTTTGGGTTTGGCTTCTTTCAATTAGAATGATGTTGAGACTAATCCATATTGTTTTGTGGATCCTTATTTCTTTTGTATTGTTAAAGAGTAGATCAGGCATGCTGGCTCACTCCTGTAATCCCAGCACTTTGGGAGGCTTGAGGTGGGTGGGAGGCTTGAGGTGGGTGGGAGGATCACTTGAGGCTCAAAATTCAAGACCAGCCTGGCAATATAGTGGGAGCCTATCTCTACAAAAAAATTAAAAAATCAGTTGGACATCATTACACATGCCTGTAGTCCCAGCTACTTGGGAGGCTGAGGCAGGAAGATTACTTGCACCCAGGAGTTCAAAGCTACAGTGACCTATGGTCATGCCACTGCACTCCAGACTAGGTGACAGAGCAAGACCCTATCTCCACAAAAATAAAAATAGATAGATAGATAGATAGATAGATAGTATTCCATTTAATCAATCTACTACAATTTGTTTATTGATTCATCCATTGGTGAGCATTTGGATTGTTTGACTCACTTTTGGCTATTAGGAATAAAGCTGCTATAAGTCATCCCATACAATCCTTGAATGTGGTTTCCTTTTCACTTGGGTAAATTTATTTGCTAGGAGTGAAACTGCAAGGTGATGTGTTAAGTGTGTGTTTAATTTCATGATAAGCCATCCCAGCTGTTTCCAGAGTGACTATGCCACTGCACTTCCATTACTTCACATCCTCACGAGCTTGTGGTGTTGACAGTCCTTTTTAGCTACACTAGTGAATATGTAGTAGTGTCACTTCATAGTTTTAGTCTGCATTTCCCTGATGCCTAATGATGTTGAGCAGCTTTTCTTACTATTTTACATCTGTAAAATGAAATGCCTCCTCAAATCTTTTGCTCATTTTCAAAAAGTGGACTATATCTTCTAAGTCTTAAGTTGTGAGAGTTTCTAAATTTATATATTAAATACAGATTCTACAACAGATATTTGCAAATATTTTTCCCAGTCTATAGTTGGTCTTTTCATTTGCTTTTAAAAATGTTTATTCCATAATAATTTTTAGACTTACATAAAAATTCATAAATAATATGGAATGGTACCATATGCCTTTTACCCAACATCCCTTGATGTTAAAAGTCTTTAAAACCATCACATAATTATCCAAACCAGAAATTACCATTGATACAGTAATAATAACTACAGACCTTATTTTAATTTCACCAATGTATTTCCAATTTTTAAAAAATTATTATTTTCTCATTTGAAGAGCTAAAGTTTTAAAATTTTATTTATAATTGAAAAATGTTTCATAGTTTGTGTTTTTCATAACCTGTCTAAGAAATCATTGTCTCATTCTAGGTGACAAAGATTTTCTTAAATGTGTTTTCTTCTATAAATTTTATAGTGTTAGCGGTTATGTTTAAGTATGTGGTCCATTTTGAGTTTGTGTTTATATATGGTATGATATAAGGGTTTTTGTGGGGGTTTTGCCTATTTATATCCAAAATCCCCAGTACCATTTGCTGAAGAGATCATCCTTTCTCTATTTAATCGCCTTCGCACTTTTTGAAATTCACTTGACCATGTGTGTGGGTGTAGTTCTGGACTTAACGCCTTGATTTTGTTGATCTGTATGACTTTTTAAAAGCATATATATTTATTTATTTTTATTTTAAAGATGTGGGATACAAGTCAGGATTGGTTACAATTTACATACAGGTGAAGTCTGGGCCTCCCATTGGACCTCACTTTGCTTAGACTAGAATCAGGTGCCCTTATTGATGTTGTATGCCTGTCTATGCCCATACTGCACAGCTTCAGTTCCCACAACATTACAGGAAGTATTGAAAGCAGGTAGCGACCGTTCTCCATTTTGCTTTATTTCCCCCCAGGCTTATTTTCAAGCTACAATTACAAATGTGTTTCATTTTGAGTAGTTTATATTGCTATATTTTCAAATCCACTAATATTTTCTTCTGTAATATCTAATGAATTGTTAATCCCAACCAGCGTATTTTTTATTAGGGATATTATATATTTTCATCTCTAGGAGTACAACAAAAATCAAAACAAGGAACTGAAAGTTCTGGAACTTTTTGTGATTTCCACATTTTAATATTTATTGTCCTTTATAAATATGAAGGATATTATTAAACAACTATTTTTTCTCTTTCAGCTGCAGTAGACTGCTCAGTTCCAGTAAGTGTGAGTGCCAGCATCAAATGTAAGTAATTTTTTTGTACTTATAAAAAAATTAGAGTAAAATATACATGACATAAAATTAGCCATCTTACCCATTTTTTTGTGTGTTCAGCTCAGTGATATTAAGTACATTTATATTGTGGTACAACAATCACCAATATCCATCTCCAGAACTCTGTTTACAGTCTTGTAAAATTGAAAGTCTTGTACCCATTAAATCAATAACTGTCTCCCCTAGGCCTTGGAAACCACCATTCTACTTTCTGTCTCTATGAATTTGATTATTGTCTCTCCATTCTACTTTCTGTATCTATGAGTTTGACTATTTTAGGTACCTCATATAAGTAGGATCATACATGTTTGTTCTTGTGTGACTGGCTAATTTCACTTAGTGTAATGCCTTCAAGCCTCATCCATTTTGCAACATGTCAGAATCTCCTTTTTTTTAAGTGAGTAATATTCTATTTTGTGTATATACCACATTTAGTTTATGCATTCATCAACTGATGAACATTTGCGTTGCAGCCACCTTTTGGCTATTGTGAATAATGCTGCTATAGACATGAGTATGCAATATCTCTTTGAGACCCTGCTGTTAAATAAGTTAAGTATGTGCCCAGAAGTGGAATTCCTGAATCGTATGGTAATTTTATTTTTTATTTTTTTGGGAACCACCGTACTGTTTTCTATAGCACCTGTGCCATTTTATATTACCTCTAATAATGCACAGGTGTTCCAGTTTCTCCACATTCTCCACAGCTTGTTTTTATTGTTGTTGTTGTTCAGATAGTAGCCATGCTGAAGGGTGTTGACATAGTGCCTCTTGAGAAAGCATTTCTAACTTTTAAAAATTATTTATAAATAAAAGAAGCTTGTGTTATACTTCTTAAACTTAAAATTGAGCCCAGTCTTTGCCACTAAATTACTTTGTGACTTTGGGTCAATTATGTAACTTCTCTGGATTTAATTTTTTCTATGTGTAAAAATGTGTCTACTATTAAAAGCCTTGCCAAGGTTTAAGTTCTAGAATTCTGTGATTCTCACTGTCCCTGAATTGTTAAGATTACTGGATGATTCATTTTAAAATACCATAACTGGTAACTTTCTCCAGATAAATATTGTCTGCGATTTATAGCCTAATAGCTTAACTGATAAACATGGCAGTTATATGTATTTGAAAAGCCATATTGACAAATAATATGTAGGAATCCTGCTATATCTACCCTTTAACCAAGTATTTCCATTTTTGGAAATCTTTACTAAAGAAATAGAACAAAATTTGAAATCTCTATTTATAAATTTCTGAAGAATCATTTGAAGTCTTGTTTGAATTCAAGTTAAGAAATATACTTTTAAAAAGAGCCAAAGAACATGAATTTCACAGCCTGTGATTGTCTTAGTTCAATAATCATATAAAAATCAAGGTATTATAAATTTTAAGTTTACTATTTTTCTAAGTTACTATTTGAATTTATATATATTTTAATTAAGAGAATTTCTGCATTAAAAAATATCGCCGGGCTCGGTGGCTCAGTCTGTAATCCCGCACCTTTGGGAGGCTGAGGTGAGTGGACTGCCTCACCCCGCGGATTCGAGACCCACCTGGGCAGTGAGACCTCATCTCTACAATAAATAAAAAAATCAGCCGGGCGTGGTAGCGCATGCCTGTAGTTCCGGCTACTTGGAAGGCTGAGGCGGAAGGATCACCGGAGCCCAGCAGGAAGCAGCCACTGCATTCCAGTCTGGGTGACAGAGTGAGACTCCAACTCAAATAAATAAATAAATAAATAAATAAATAAATAAATAAATAAATGAATAAATAAATAAATAAATAAATAAATATCAACCCAAGGGTAGTTTTTCCTAAATGGTGAATGATTAAGAGCATAGATAGGGAATTGCCTTTTGATGTAATCTAGGAATGGTCACAGATAGCAGGACTGGTTGGGTCATCTCTTCATGAATATCTTCTTAACAGAAGAGTGGACTTAAGGTGGAAGAGTAGCTACCAGCTACCACTCAGTGAGCACAGTGTCTTTCCCAGGCCATGTGTCTGGCATTTTGTATTTTCCTACTTCTTTGTATGTTTGCACAAATCCTAGGGTAGGCTCTCATATCTGTGAAGGAATCTTGGGATTCAATTATTTTTATAGGAAGGAGAAAGACATGTTAGGCAAGAGTAGAGTATATATTTTTAAAGATCAAGTTGGTCACTGCACACAAGTTATATGGATGAGTCATTTTACCTCTTGCTTTCCTTTTTTGTGAAATGAAAGGTAATGCAATAATTTCTGAGCACCCTTCCAGATTATTAATTTCTGTGATTTATATTATTTTCTTCTGTTATCAGTAACTTTATAGGACAAAAAAATAAAAAACCACTTGTTCAATATTTGCAGGCTTTAAATACCTGGATCATTTGAACTAAAACGGTTTTACCCAATTGTCATGAAAGTAGATCATCTTCTTTATTTTTTTATTTTTTTTTATATCAGTATTTTTTATTTTGATATTGTGGGGTACAGTTAAGGGTTAGGTATACAAATATGCTTCATTCAGGCACCCTTGTTGATAAGGGGTGTCTCCCCGTCCCCAGACAGATATTGACTACCATTAATCCCACCTCCCTTCCCCACCCCCCATAGTTTCCCACCACTGTCAGTCCATTTTTATAGTATTACGATGGATGTTCAAGGTTCGCTATATGAGTGAGAACATGTGATACTCAGATCTTTGTTTCTGTGAGAGATCACTCAGTATTATTGACTCTAGTTCCATCCAGGTTGCTGCAAAGTTCATGATTTTGTTCTTTTTTATGGCTGTGTAGTATTCCATCGTATATAGGTACCACATTTTTTTAATCCAGTCCTCTTTTAGGGGACAGTATGGTTGATTCCAGGTTCTTGCTATTGTGAACAATGCTGCGATAAACATACGTGTGCAGGTATCTTTTTTATAGAGTGATTTGAGTTCTTCAGGGTATATTCCCAGTAGGGGGATTGCGGAGTCATATGGGAGGTCAATATTTAGAGCTTTTAGCAATCGCCATACTGTTTTCCACAGAGGTTGCACTAGTTTGCACTCCCACCAACAGTGTAGAAGTGTTCCCTTTTTGCCACACCCTCTCCAGCAACTGTTGTTTTTTGAGTTATTGATAATTGCCATTCTGACTGGAGTTAGGTGGTATCTCAGTGTGGTTTTGATTTGCATCTCCTTGATGATTAGTGAGGTTGAACATTTTTTCATGTGTCTGTTGGCTGCTCGGATGTCTTCCTTTGAGAAGTGTCTGTTCATATCTTTTGCCCATTTCATAATGGGGTTGTTTGTTTTTTTTCTTTTCAGCTCGTTTGAGGTCCTTGTAGATCCAAGATGTTAAACCTTTGTCAGACCTGCAGTTAGCAAATACTTTTTCCCAGTCTGTAGGCTGTCTCCCTTCTCTGTTGATGGTTTCTTTGGCTTTGCAGAAGCTTCAGTTTAATGAGGTCCCACTTGTCTATCTTATCTATTATGGCCTGTGGGTTTTGGGTTTTGTTAGGAATTGGATGCCAGTTCCGATTTCCATGAGGGTATGTCCTTCATTTTCTAAGGTTCTTGTGGTTTGAGGTTTTAAATTTAGGTCTCTGATCCATTTAGAGTTAATTTTTGTGTATGGGGATAGATAGGGGTCATGTTTCAATCTTCTGCATGTGGTCAGCCAGTTTTCCAGCACCATTTACTGAATAGGTTCTCCTCTCCCCCAGTGGTAGGTGGTGGAGGCTTTGTCGAAGATGAGTTGGTTGAGAAATTGAGGTTTTGCTTCTGGAATCTCAATTCTATTCCATTGGTCTATATGCCTGTTCCTGTACCAATACCAAGCTGTTTTGATTATTGTAGCTTTATAGTAAAGTTTGAAGTCTAGTAATATGATACCGCCTGCTTTGGTTTTTTTTGCTGAGCATTGTTCTAGCTATTCTTGGTCATTTGTGTTTCCATATGAATTCCTGTATTGTTTTTTCTAGGTCTGAGAAGAATGTTGCTGGTAATTTGATGGGTATTGCATTAAATCTGTAGATTGCCTTAGGTAGGATGGACATCTTCACAATGTTGATTCTTCCAATTCATGAGCATGGGATATTTTTCCACTTGTTTGTGTCATCTTTGATTTTTTTGAGCAGTGTTTTGTAGTTTTCACTGAAAAGGTTTTTCATGTCTCTGGTTAGGAAGATGCCAAGGTATTTCATTTTTTTTGTGACTATTGTGAATGCAGTTGTGCTTTTTATTTGGATTTCTGTTTGTTTATTATTGATGTAAAGAAATGTGATTGTCTTTTGTACATTTATTTTATATCCTGAGACTTTGCCAAAGTCCTTTATCAGTGTAAGGAGGTTTTTGACAGATTCTCTTGGGTTTTCAAGATACACGATCATGTCATCTGCAAAGAGAGATAACTTGACTTCCTCTTTTCCTATTTGGATACTCCTGATTGCCTTCTCTTGTCTGATTGCTCTAACCAGGACTTCCAATACTATATTGAACAGGAGGGGTGAGAGTGGGCATCCTTGTCTTGTTCCAGTTTTCAAGGGAAATTGTTCCAATTTTTGTCCATTTAGGAGTATGCTGGCTGTGGGTTTCTCGTAGATGACTTTTACTACTTTGAGGTACATTCCCCGTATGCCTAGATGTTTGAGGGTTTTTATCAAGAAGTGGTGCTGGATTTTATCAAAAGTTTTTTCTGCATCTAATGATATAATCATGTGGTTTTTGTTTTGACATCTATTGATGTATTTAATTACATTTATGGTTTTACAAATGTTCAGCCAGCCTTGCATCCCAGGTGTAAAGCCTACTTGGTGATGATGGATGATTTTTGAGATGTGTTATTGAATCCGGTTCGCTAAGATCTTGTCGAGGATTTTAGCATCTATGTTCATTAAAGATATTGGCCTGTAGTTCTCTTTCTTTGTTGGGTCTTTACCTGACTTGGTTATCAATGTGATGTTAGCTTCATAAAATGATTTGGGGAGAATTCCATCTTTCTCAATT